CTGATTCTCTGATAACGCATATAATATAGAGATGAAACGGATAGTTGTTTGGCCGGATACCGGATACCGGATATCCGGCCAGTTGCTAGGCCGGATAGCCGGATATCCGGCGGCCGGATAGTTGACCCATTGTCTCGTTGCATGTCGTGACGAGTTTAGCGCCGCACAGGTGCTTCGAACGCGATCCATTAGTAGTGGGTCCATTAGTAGACTAAACCTTAATTCTTTAGAAATTTCCATCGATGTAAACAAACACTTGTGCACACAATTACACTATAATACTCACGTTTTCTTAATATCATACACATTATTTCACAAGCTCATGAAACCAACTTTATTCTCATGATGAAACAAATATGAAATCTAACATTGAAAACAAAATATTTTAACAAAATATTTGGATGGTGAAAATTTGTGCTTCATGTTAAAATGTCAAATCGACATTTGACGTTGAAATTTAGGTCCTATCTCTGGAAAATCTGTAAGTCATAGACAATATTCATAGATAATAATCTGTAAATTTTATCGATTTTATTTCAAGTATTCAATTATTTCAATGACCATTAATTACTTTGATAATATTAATTTAAAATAAAATATAAACGAGGTTATATTCAACAATCTATTTTTTCTTCATTGAATGCAACAACACACTTTGCGAAGAAGTCTTTGAATTCAGAGCCCCGATTACGGTAATTTTTAACGTCTCCAATCCAGACGCGTTTCTGATTCTGCAATACGATTGGTCAAAACAGCTGACGTACGCTGTTGAACGACCAATCGTATCGCAGAATCGAGAAGCGTGTCTGGATTGGAAACGTTAAAAGTTACCGTAATCGGGGCTCAGTTTTATTATACAGACGAGTGTCACATAAAAAAGGCATTTCGACCACTTTTCGACTGGTTTACGATTTTATTGTGCACTTTGTCTAGACCGACAGTATAATTTAAATTATATTTCCTAAACAAATAAAAAAGGGAAATTTAAATTTTCTTTGATTAAGAAGATCCTATTTTGACGATCACATTACTGATCACAACTATTCACAACATCAATCAGAAGAGGGATTGATCTTAACTATACAAACGATCTTTAAAAATCTAATAATCGTCTGTCGCAGTCCGTAAATGACATTTACAGATGCGATTAACGAGAGATTTTGTCGCATCACTAGTAGATCAACTGACATAGACTAAAAATTCGTCAATGTCAGTTGGCCATATTTGTTTACATTTAGGGAAATTTCTAAAGAACTAAGGTATAGACTAGTCACTCTTTTCGAAAACCGAATCCGTCCGAATAGAATGTCAGATTTTGCCACTTGTCTAGGGGGCAGATCAATTCGGGCGATTTCAATTGCTATCGTAAGTGTGATTGAATAGTAAAAATTAAATTATAGTTTACTTGTTGCATAATCTGACTGAACTGAATGCATCATGTATTGTCATCAGACCATCAGTGAAAAAAATATCGCCTTTTTTATTTCAGCAATATTTCGACATTAGAGTGAATAGCCCAGAAAGAGAAATTAGTTTTTTGAAAGGCCTTAATATGGCTTTTGTAACTTTTTGGACTTTAAATAATTAAGCCGTCATTATTATAAGCCATTTTATTGATATTTACCTCAAAGATTAATGTATTTCATTTTATTAATAGGAAATTGTCGTACTTTTTTAATATCCGGTATCCGGCCGGATAGTGAGTTACTATCCGGTATCCGGCCGGATAGTAAATTTAGGCCGGATATCCGGCCTACCGGATAGTTACCGGATATCCGTTTCATCTCTAATATAATACCACTTTATTTATTTACAACAACGGTTATAATTTTGCAATTTTCGCAGTTTTTATTTGGGTTCCGCGGTAAAAACACAAATAGCCAACTGACGCAACTTTTTCACGCCAATTAGATCATTACAGGGAAATTCGTTTATAGAAGAAAAGAAAGACATTAAGTTCATAGACACGAGTAGATCTAGGGTCAAAGTTAGCTTTTTTTTTATCTCTAAACCAGTAGAGATATTCAAAAGCCAAATGCCATCTTTTTGAAATCAAATGCAAGGAAAAATATAAAAACAGCTTAGCTATCGAGGCTTACTCTTGTTAGTTGGTTAATCCAAGGATGCTGGTGTAATCTGTGGATCCAGTCTGCCCAGAAGCGGCTTACTCACCGGCTATTGTAGTAAGACACATACTGTTAGATGTGCGGACATGTTGAATTGAAGGCATTGTAACATTGATGAAGGCTAATTTCGGTTGGAGGAATCTAGCTGGTCTGTTCCCTGTCATGTCATTAGGCCGTATCCACAGTCAGTGCTGCTTGTTAGCTTCATGTAATGATTGAGGTGAAATTGACGTTAATTAGTCCTTAAATAAAATTCGACTTGAATTTTATTCATACTTGATAATATATTATTGTAGAGACGACGCCATGTTAAGGTTAACACTGTGTCATTTCATGTTGTTGTAATAAATGTTATTTTCCAAAAAAAATATCTGATTCGTAACCCAGTTGAAGTTCCTCTAATAAAATCGATGTACGTACAACCGTCTGTAAGTTACTATAAAATCCATTTTGGACGGAACCCTTCACTGCTTACTCCGACGCGCACTTGACCGCCAGATGATATCAATGGCTGAAGACGCTCTATCATTACTTCAGTTTAGGCATTAATTTGATAATAATTAAATACCGCGGCGCTTTGATCGTATCTCGCAGTATTTACATTTCAATTATAACTGTATATTGTTCTGAAGTGTGATCTAGTTAGAGTTATTGACTGGGCTCTAATTACTCGGAGGTTAAGGCTAAATTGTATGCACTTAGGTGAAGTTGTGATTTAAATAAATATCACAATACTATCAACATTCCATAGTTCACCAACAGATGAAACTGTATTCACAAAATGATTTTTTTATGAAGTCATGATTGATCTCAAAATAGATATAACCTACTTATATCAGTCTTAGCAATGGTATTTTATAGGAAAGAATTGATGATGATAATAATATAGTATAGTTCTTGCAACTCACGAAGGCGAGTAAGATTTACTTGTGTGTATCTACCTGTACATGCACATAACGATAGTGTAATATCTATCAAAACTTGAAAAAACGAACAGCTGTAGCGAGCCACCACACATGTAAAGATAAGATAAGATAAAAGATAAGAAAAACTTTATTTGACACAAAAAGAAAATAAAATAAAGCTCACTCGCCTTCGTGAATTGTAACAACTATACCTAATTATTTAACAAATATTTTTTTAAATCTTTTTATTTTTTCCGCCACTCGCTTTCCACTTAATACTCGTACGTTTCCTATTCTTTAAATATAAAATATTTTCTTAACCGATGAAAATATTCACATTGCGGCCTTTCTTATTGTTACGTGCAACTGCCTTTTCGCGGAATGCTACGAAAGAGCACTGCATTTCCATGCCTATTAAAATATTTTTGAAATTTCTTTCCGTCACATTTTTGTGGACGCCCCAACGTGAAATTTTATTTTGTAAGCCGTTTCCAGTCGTACCTGCAAGTGATATTCGTATGCAACTGAATTTAAGTTAGTTTAGTGGACATGGCACCAAGTAATAGCAGTGTAACTATATTATATACCTAGTGTATTAATACTGAAGTTTCAATGCTAACACAATAAAAACTGGCGTTTACTAGTATCTTATTCCAATTTAATTATATAAACCTCAGATTACTTCTGTATTAAAGTTTAAGACTAAACTACCTTGACTATTTGATAGCCATTAAAACCATATAGATACATTAAGACAAAAAGCTCATGTATGTTTTACAAAAACTATTATTGCTTTTAATCAGAGATCTAACATGAAACATCATAATATTCAGTGAGTTATTACACGTCCCGCCGGCAATAAAATATTGTAATGTGGACGACTGAGACGGATTGAAGCTCTAATAGATATAGAATAGCCCCGCTTTTTATGCGCGCACTCACAGACTCATAGATGATTGTAATGCGCCCAGTTTACAACGCATTCGCGTTTATGACACATGATTAACATTTCTTGGCAACCACTAGGTACAACACTCGTAAAAAAGCACCAAGTAATCGCGGATACACGTCCAATAAATAGCATCAAAACATTCTCACATCGTGTATTGGATGAGGATTAATGGAAACGGGCCGGGTACAGCTGAATGGGACCTGGTGGATGTCATTCATATCGGACAGTTTTGTCGGGACCACCGCGCCGGTGTTATCTCAGCGTGCGCAGTGTCATCAATCCTGCGCCGACTCGCGCGGCCTATCCTCGCATCGACTTTGAAAACGGAACGTTAATTATAATCTGCCCTCGTTCCGTTATCAACTCGCCGAGATGCCGGCCAGAAAGAAACGCTCGTCTAAATTTGGCATTAGGCAACATCCGTCGCCGCCATAGCGCGGGGGCGTGGCCACGTCGCCGGCGCGCGCCATTGGCCGCGGATCGCGCCGTGGGAACGCCGTTTGAATCTTTGAACATCGCGCCGACCCTATTATTGAATCCATAGACAGAAGAATGGAATATAAATTCCTGCGCGATCTACGATTCTATCGGCGAATGCAAAGCTCGGTTTCGTCCGCAAAATTTTTCGTATGTAAGTAATTGGAACGGCGGAACAGCGCGGCGGAATGTTGCGCCGGCGCCGGCGACCGTCACGCTCGGCGCGGCGCCGCCGGTAATCTTGCTAATTACAGATAAAATCGGAACCTCGGAACGCAACCCACAATGGCAAATCCGCGGAACGCTCTCACGTGCCCCACAAAAACGGACAGAAATGCGAAAAAGAAAACAAGCGAGCTTCCGCATCCAGCGACGGAAGCTAATTACGCCGAATTGTGCAAGTACCGGGGAGAATTTTCCCCGTGCGGCAAGGCGAGATTACTTTTTCGGCGAATCTTTTTAAGGCGATGCGACATTTCGTTGGCTAGCGGCTCGTTTCGTGTTGACCAACCGACGACCAATGTTGTTTTTTGTCCGCAGGTGTGGTTCCAGAACGCGCGGGCGAAGTGGCGGCGCATGGTGACGAAGCAGGAGAACAAGATGGCGGAGAAGTGTTCTCCGGACGCGTCGCTGGAGCTGGACATGTACCACGGGCCCATGGGCTCCATCCAGTCGCTGCCGCCGCATAGCCCGCCCTACAGCGTCATGGGCGGCCCGCCCAGCCCCAGCTCGATGGACTGCGCATAGCCCCAGTTCTGCGCCTTATGAGCGCCCCGACTGGCTCACCAGTACGCGACTAGTGGAGGGTTCATGTAGTGTCGGCTAGGAGGAGTGAGTGGCGACGGACTCGTAACTGGGACTGAGGTACTCTGCAGTACGCAGTGAGTTCAGTGATGGATCCACGGTTGTGTAGGTTCAGAGCTCGGCACGTGCACGAGCGTGCTCTGTTGAATTAGATCTGTTTGTTGAATCTCAAAGGTTGTAAATTTCATCATTTAATGTAGTCCGAGTTAGTGCCGGATTTTTAATCTCTACATCGTCTCCCCGGATGGAGCTGTGCCGGCACTCGCCTCGCATCTCCTTGGAACGCGAGCTTCATCCGAGGACCGGTTATTAAATTGGTAAATTACAGTAGAGGCGTATTATAACTACAATAATTATAATAATATACGTCTAAGGTTTCACAAAGACCGAATATATCGAATATCACTTTGTATATGTTGGTTCTACAAACCGAAACTATGAAGAAAGTTTTTTTTATTAATATATTGAATACTATTTATTTATTGAACATTAATATTTAATTTGAATTTAAGTATAATTATAAGGAATTTTAGGTAGATGTGAAAATTTTCCATAGATTAATGATTAGGTTGTAATGTAGAATAGAGAAAAGCGTAAAAATTGGCCGGTCAAAAACTGAATGAAACATTTTTAATGAATTTTGGAAATGTGTCTAATAATGGTCTTTTATGTAGTTGTAAGCATTATCTAAGTATAATTATTACTCCGGCTAAATAAACGCACCGTTAGTTCCTTTTTTTTGTATAGATTTAAAGTACTTTATGAATAATCTGAAATAATGTTAATGTAGCAGACTCAAACGAATAATGTAACCGTTTCAATGTATGCAATCAATATGTAAACCTATGTAATTGGAAACAAACTGTCAGCTTGTGCACAAGCCAGGCTTCAGGCCGCACTCACGGTAACAGCGCGGAAGCGGAACCGAGTGCGGGAGCGGTTTGATATGTTATTAAAACTCACTATTGAAATCAACGTCAAGCAAAAAAAAACTTCATTTTGGTTCTCTGTTCAAAAACATATTCGAGGACTTTTATATCTATATCAGCGGTACTAAACCTTTTTACGCATTGACATTTTCGTTAATGTAAGACTGTAATAATACAATTTATTTGTTAGCTTGACGTTGATGTCACAGACAAAGAATATTTTAAGCATGTTAATCTCTGACATTGTATTTATCTAACTGTTACTGTTATAAGGTGTAGAGAGTTCATGTTAATAGTAATAAGCAGTTGTACGCCTAGTTTTAAAAAACATTCTTCATCTGAGTTACCAAATATCAGCTCTACTTGATGCATGACTAAAAGTATCTAACTATAATTCATAACAATAATTAAATATACAATCATTAAGGGTTAGATGTTCAAATATAATAGTTAGGTACCTCCTATAACTTAATATTAATTAAAGTTTTCGTGTTAATAATAAATTTATAGTATTTTCTATGTTGGTATTTGGTGGGTCTAATGAAGACGTGCTTTCTAATACCCACATTTAAGCAGTCGGTAAAAAAATCCGCTCCCGCCCGCGCTCGCACTGTGTGATGAGGCGAACGACATCGAATGTATGCCTGGGTGTTTATTCATAATGTGTCTAAAAATTATAACAATCTGTTAATAAAAATATTCCAGTTTATAAAATAATTCACTTTTATTTAATCCTTTAAGCAAAGTAACCGTAAAGATGGTTAACAATAAACGGTAAGTAGATTTAACACTTTAAAGAGGAAAAAAAGTAAGGTTGGTTTGATTAACATAAGAGGTAATTAATTACTGCCAGATCTGAAAATTGTTTTACAGTTAGAAATTAAACATTTTTAAATATTCTTAATTTAGGTTCTTCTGTTTATAATTTAGTTACAAATTTATATTCATTGAATTATTTTCTTAAATAGTGCAGAAGTCACTAGATATTACATCTATAGTCTTTTTCACGTAAGATGATCCGTATGACACTTCAAGGTTATCCATATTACGCATACTACATAAAATATGCAGAATATTTTTGGAAAAATATTTGTATTTTAATTAACAATATAATAAAAAAAATTACTACTTGTCTTGAAATATATAGTAAAATCAATAGACTCATGATTATATTTTAATTTAATACGACGTAAAAATATTTTTTATTTAATGTACGCAATGTGTGAAACGGAATAGATTTAGTGCTGGGGTATTTCTTGTATAATAAAATCGATTATTTCCGTGGTTCATTAATCGATTGCAGTGAATACTTAGTTATACCATAAAATTTTCTGTACATAATTAAAATAATTTAAGATTTTATGGATTTCCTTTCATTTGATTTATCAAGTTTGTTAGAGAGATTTCATCCTTGTACTTGACCCTAACGATCGATGCAATAAAAATACAGGGTGTAATTTTTAACAGATTTTAGTTGGTTCGATTCCCGGGTGTGGCAAGCTAATTTTTGGAAATCTTTGAATGCAGTTCTATTTCTTTTCAAAAATAAAGGAATGTTTTCTTTGAGAATTTTTTTCTATCTACACTATTAAGAGTAGTTTCCCTCCAGGTGGCATTAGAAAATTCCACCCTGTATAAAGTATCTTCTGTCTGTAACCGCAACATATTAATGTTAACTATGCTAGAAGTTTAGCATAGTAAATAACATAGCATAGGTAGTAGTTCTAGTGTGTACAGAAGCATGAAATAAAGTATGCGTACCCTGTGATACCTTGAATAATGCCTTGAGCGGATACCATTTTGGTCCACAAATGTGCAAGTATTTTAAGCTGTATATTGTAATAATTATTTTAATATGTTGGACCAAATAAAATATTTTCTTTCTTTCTTCTATTACAGAAATGAGATATTGTAATTTTTTTTAAAGATTATAAGCTATTTGTATTGCACAAATTACTAATAGTGCCGTTAGCCCCTCGTGGTAAGCTAAATAAGCTTGTGTTACGAGTGGGCTCACCACAATAGTCGAGCGGCGGTGGGAAATAACTCTTGTATGAATATGGATTCAAGCTTGACAGTAAGTAACAACGAAAGTATCATCTCTTCTGAGTGGCGATAAAATAAGAACCATTTATGAAACGATTCTCAAGTACAAATCTACTCAAACATATAAGTCTAATACTGAAATGAATACCAATACTGGACTCTACCTTTTTACTCTATCCGAATGACGTCCAGTGCTGGACAAAAACCTCCCCCAAAAACCGAATGTCCACAAAGATCGGTCATCCAGGCACCTTCCACGACCTTTACCAGATCGTCGGTTCACCTAGTGGGAGGCCTGCCCATACTGCTCCAGCTCGTGATTGCCACTCAAGAACTTTTCTGCCCCAGCGGCCATCAGCTGTGCGAATGTGCCCAGCTCACTGCCACTTGATTTTAGCGATTCTGCGGGCTATGTCAGTGACTTAGGTTCTCCTCTTTTCCGATTCGATCATGCAGGGAAACTCCGAGCATAACACGCTCCATCGCCCTTTGGGTGACCTTGAGCCTTCTTATGAGGCCCATGATAAGCGACCACGGCTCTACTACTCTATGCTTGGTATTAAATTTACTACAGGCATAGCTAGTATTGAAAATGTGTATTAAATTCTGGTACTAATTGCTAGCCTGTTAGTTTCCATAATTATTACTATCCGATACGTGTAATATGTTAAATATCTGTTACATGTTACACGTTTAAGTACTTGCTGTTCATGGAAAGTAGCTTTTCTTTTCTCTCATAACGCCAGCTTCGTATCGTAGATCGGAACAATTGAACTTGATTTGTTAACGATGTTAGTTTCGTGGTTAGTTGAGTATGTTACTAAATAAAATTATGTGCTCAATTATTGCAAAACTGCTGTAGTAAGAGTTGAGCTAGTAAAACGAATAAATAGAAATAGAAGATTTTCATTCCTGTTACGACGCTTCTGATAAGGGAGAGTCCGGTAATTTGGACCAGTTTTTTTCAATCCAATTTTACACATAGTTTTCTTTTGTTTTTGCTAATGTTCATGGTATATAATTAAAGAGAAATTATTCAACTTACTATTTCATAGGTATTAATCAACATATTTTTTGTATATTTAGCACAAATCAACAAAATACGAGCTCAGAGCTTCGGTCCAATTTAGCCAACCGGTTCGATAATTTGTACCACAGGGTTACTAAATTAGATTTCAATAAATTTCAAGCCTGTAAAAAAACTATGGCAAAATATTATACGATACATTCTTAATAAATTAGGTAACGAAAAGGAACAGTAGTTAATAACATAGACAATCGATATTGTTTTACACGTTATCACGATTTTGAGTAAAAGTTTTGTAATTCCAACTATCGTAACGCACACTTGTACCTAATCTACTTTGCCAGTCTTTTGCTTTCATTTATTGTTAGTCAAACATAACTACGCTATTATAAATTCAAAGTATAAAAGTATAAAAAAAAAATCAAAATCCTTTGGTAAAGTTCCATACAACTTGATGTGGTACAATTTAGCCAACTAGGTGATAGTGCTTTTAAAAAATCGTTAAAAAATATAGCTTATAAATACAGAAAAATGTTTCAAATAATTGTAATCCACACTAATTTACGCTTCTAAATAATCTATTAGAAACACCCTGTGATTAAATTTAACAAAATTACAAACTAAACATGCATTGTCAAAAGTTACTTGAAAACAATGAAAAAATACTTTTCAAAATAAAACACACGTGTTAGTTTTCACGGTAAAAACCACATGGCCCATATTAATTGAATTTAGTTGTGTATCGCTGAGTGTTGCAATTACAGACATTCAATAAATACTTTACGAAATATGAGGGTGGTACAATTTACCCGGCGGTACAATATACCGAACTCTCCCCTATATTTTCAGCATTACCTTATGATATGCGTGCAAACAGACAAAACTGATATTTTTACATTTTAACTATCTGTAAAAGTTGTTAAAGTATGTACTCAATTAAACTAAATTACTCAAAGCTTAATTCCATTTTTCTCTCAAACAGCTCAGACCAAACAAAGTAAGGCCCCTGTACACTGTAGATGTCCCCGAAACAGATAAAGTCAAGAATGCCCGAAAAAGGAATTCGGACCACCCAGCCGTCAGCTGGGCCTTATTTATTGTTTTAATTAAACAACATAACTCAGGGTCCCAACGCACCTATGTGACAGGCCGTAACTTTGCCCTTTGGCTACCGATCTGAGCAGCAGTGCGGAACTGGATTGGGCATGATTAATAAAATTAATGCGGTTCATATGCACCAATAATGCATTTAAAAGTGAAGACTACATCTTACTAACAACAGACTGATGAGACCTGTCGCAATCAACTTATAGCCGAATCCTTAAAAATATTTATAAAATCCTCATAAAATATCTACTGTTTTTAAACTGACTATGACTACTTAACCACGGTCTTGTTTTGAATGTCATTATAGTAAGTATTACAAGAATATACAGGTTGTCCCAAAAAGTAGTGTCAAGCCGAAGCCCAGCTAGAGGTAGAGCATCACTAGGGCTATCCAAATCACCCCCATGTAAGTATGTTTCGCGATTTATGATAGTTTTCGAGTTACGATTACGAGTAGGTACGATTTCAATTTCTGTGCTTAGGCACTTTTATCAAAAATATTAACTCGAAAACTATTAAAAGTCGCGGTGATACGGGTAGCTTTAGTGATACTCTACCTCTGGGCTTTGGTTTGCAACTACTTTTTGGGACACCCTGTATATTTATAGTCTATGGAATTTTTTATTATTTTTTATTTTATTTATTATTCATTATTGAGCAATTACATATTTGATCCAAATAGCGTCCTAAATCCTTTTTAGGTTTGTCTAGACACTATTGTTCTCTATACAAATAAAA